GATGCCAGGAGCCCCTAGTAGCGTCCTTGTTCCTAGTAGCGATGCCAGTTTGCTCCTAGTAGCGTCCTTGATCCTAGTAGCGATGCCAGGAGCCCCTAGTAGCGTCCTTGTTCCTAGTAGCGTCCTTGCTCCTAGTAGCGATGCCCTTTGCTCCTAGTAGCGTCCTTGCTCCTCATTGGTTTTCTGCTCTCTGCCATCTTCTGGAGCCTTTCATCCCTGAGCAGTTCTGGTCGCGTCATGCGCCGGTTGATTGTGGGCCACCTGATCCATTGCCGTACACATCGGTTCTACTACCTGACTGCCGCTTCTCTTCCCATGACTTGCCATGAAAAGATAGTTGATCTTCCTTCTTTTGATATTTCCGCCTCTGCTCCAGCATCTGGAGCCAGTCCCAGTGCTTTGGCTAATTGGTGCCTCAGTTGATCCCGCTTGACCTACTGGTTTAAGGGGAACAAAGACTTGGAGACTTGTGGCCAAAGCTTCCTGATGAGAAACATCCAAGAAAACCTTCAACTGTTGCCAAAGCAAGGGGAATAACCGAACTGTGGATGTACAAACGTGATTACTCTGTACTTTGTGGCAAGCATTTTGCCGGATATCACCGAAAGTCGTGGACATCAACTTAATCAACATGTTCAGAAACACGACTACATTGCATTAAATTAGTTGCACCGATGAGGTATGATGAGGCTTCCACGTGGCAAAGACTGGATCAGCCAAAAAGTCCTCAACCCACGCTCGTGAGATGCAGAACTGACAAGCTCAGCAATTTCATGGAAATCGGTAGTTTGTGCAAAAAACTCAAACATCATTCTTGAAAATTCTGGTCAAACAGTTCTTTGCAAGAGTGTCTCTTTGGCACACGGGATGGGTGTTCCTGGGGAGCTCGCATGAATCATGGTTGCCACTTCCAAGTTCTTCTTTGGAGGAGTCCCTTCATAGTCTCTCTGCGTCTGTTCCATCACTAGTTCCACTGTCTCAGGTCCTCATAACGCACCAACGCAAAGTCCTAGCCATCAGCTGCTGAGGTTTTCGTGGCGAATGCAACTCTCCAGGTGAAAGATATCAAGGTAGTCTACTGATGAACGCAGCCGGGAACCTCCGGACAGTTGCGCTGGCTATATCCTAACGTTTCTGGCATGGTTGGGTTCCGATTCATCCAAGTAATTCCAAGTGACCGTTTCCCCAACCCAGTAAACCTCAAGTAATGTCCTTTGTATGTGGTGCACTATTGAAAGCGTGTGCTTTGCACCTGCGGATGTCCCTATTGGGACTGATTGAGTAGAACATGCCTAGTATAGGTACCAGAGTAGTCGATATCTGAGCCCTGCATCGTTCTTTCCCGGCTCAGGGAGCACAAGGGCTTTCCGGTATGAAATATTGTGCACATATGCTTTATTCAAATGATATACAGTACTTTGCAAAACAAGGACGCTACTAGGGGCTCCCGGCATCGCTACTAGGAGCAAGGACGCTACGAATGCGGCTCCTGGCCTTACTACTAGGAACAAGGAGCTACTAGGGGCTCCTTGAAGATATATTTACTGTAGTAGGTCCTTATGATCTACGCCATGGAGTTGTAAACGGGCGCCACGGTCCACTCCAGCAGGCGCCGCGGTCCTGTGGGCACTGAAGGTACTCGTCCACTACCAGGGCCCAGCGTTGGATGCTCGCATCCAGGTAGCCCGAAAATCTGCAGCTGGCAAAGGTTTTGTGTGTTTTTCCAGAACGATTAGATGAAAACAATTGAAAACACATTTTAAATGAAAGGACCAAGTCATTATCCCCACATTAAAGCGGCACAAAATTGACCGGTCTGACGGCACTGTAAGATGTTATTACGTCTACAGCGACACCCTCGTATGCATGGTTTGGTGCCATTTCCAACCACATCGAAGCAAGTGTCCATTTCCAATACCCGAATGGGGCAATCCACCACCAACAGTGAAGATTAGATCACCATCCCCCGACCACACAAACGCGCATGCGCGGGCGCATGCAGCGCCTGAGCCCCAGGGCTGAATGGTCCAAGTAGCGTTGCTTTCCCGGAGTGAAGTGCCTTGGAAAATGCCCTGGAGCCTAGGCGGCATTCGAAGGCCCAATGATGCCAGGCCCACTAGGAATGTCCGGTGTGTAGCTGGGAAAGGATCACACCACTGAGGGGCTGAGAGCAACCACTCTCAACCGGAATGGCTTGAGCTGAATTGAACAACAATGATTCCAATAAGCAAGCACGCACTGAACCCAGGGAACAAGAGGTTGGAAGCAAAAACAACCGCCCACACAGGTGAAAGCAATAAACTTGTACTGTTGATGTCCTCGCCAACATTAAAAAAACGAGTTGTTGAAAAAAAGGACAAAAAGGTGTGCTTTGACTCACTGTGGAGACAAGAAGCTGAGGAGACAAAAACGGTTTCATGTCACCACCTGCGAATGCACAATGGGAAAACATTGGTAAGACTCAAGGAGACTCATGGTTAAATCTTTAAGTGACACATGCTGCTTCTTGCTTCCCTATTTGGGGAACAAGAAGCGAGATGGGGCAATCTCACTCGGTTTCACATCCGCACATTATCAACTGAGCGCAACGCCCAAAAGAAGTGCTGATCCTCGAATGACACATTTGTGTCCAAACCTCGCTCAGTCAGTCGTGGCAGGACATTTCAACAGCTCAAGCCTAGTCAACTTGTCTTTGAGATGATGTGGAAAGTGCAGGACCAGTGGGGCATTCACTCATTGCCCATTCTTGCTCGCCACATGGCCTCATCGACTTAACATATCTATGCAAAACGGATCTGTTCCGAGGATTCCTGGAAACAAAAAACACTTACTGGCCATAGATTCCTGGACATCTATATCCTGCAATCCGTTTTTTGTATCGACAGAAACGTTGCCTGGTCCAACTCCCCAGAAACATGTTGAGTGTTGAGTGGGTTTGCTATACTGCGCACCAACAAGTTGCAAAAAAACAAGGTGGAGTTCTTCAGACGCTGGGTTGCTTGAATCGAGTAAATCTATCTACAAGTTATTAATTAGAATGATCAATCAGCCCACCTATCCGTCCAATGACTCTATGCGTCGAGGGATCATCCGCCTAGATGCGCCCAGTGGCCCAAATGCTCCAGCAAAGAGCTGGTGAAATCCAAGGGGTGTCGCACCTGGCTCGAAGGAGTAAACCGACGGTGAACCGACCGGCGGTCATGTACACAAAAAGGAAATCCCCAACGCTTTTTGAGTTGAAGATTCCAGAGTCATCGTACGGGCTGGAATCATATGATGTTTCATACGCACTGGATCTTGCTCCCACGACCCGTGTGGCTACAACTCCTGCCCGATCTGACCTCCTTTGCACGGTGAGACTGCCCAGAAAACCATTGCAACAAAACCAACGAAGCTGGTAAGGCAAATGACAAGGAGGTTTAATCCGCCGACCCCACTCGTGGGGTCAGGCGTGACTGTTGATTAAGGCTAAGGCTATGATTAAGGCTAAGGCTATGATTAAGGCTATACCTCCCCTACCCCTCCGGAGCCTTGTTGGAGTGACGAAAAGTAGCCAAAAATTGTCCAAGATTTGTCCAAGATTGTCCAAGATTTCTCCAAATGTATTGGTTTGCTTCTTGCTGGGGATTGGGGCACCCTCTCCACCCGCGTGGGAAAATAAGCACGGTCCCTACATGGTACCGGGCTCGAATCCCGGGCTGGTCGCGGCCTGGTCCCTGCCAGTGCCCTTGGTTTTTACTAGCGTTTTCTGCTGGATTTCTAGGATTTTCAAATGCTTTTGTGAGATTTACTCATGCCTTTCATGCATTTTTCGAGGGTTGTTCCAGGATTTTCTATGGCTTTTCCTCGAATCCCGGCCTGGTTGCGGCCTGGTCCCTGCCAGTGCCCTTGGTTTTTCCTAGATTTTGTAATGCTTTCCGCTAGATTTCTAGGATTTTCAACGGTTTTTGTAAGATTTACTCATGCCTTTCATGCCTTTTCCGAGGGTTTTCCAGGATTTTCTCTGGTTTTTCTAGGTAATTCTGTGGTTGTCTAGGGGCTCCGTGTTGTTCTTTGGGTCCCAGATTTTCAAAGAAAAATGCTAACCCATTTGCCGTGCTCTCTTCTGCCTACTTTGGTGATGCAGTGACAGATCATGTCTCTAGGGATTCCGTGTTGTTTTTTGGGTTCCCCGATTTTTCTAAAAAAAACCTAACCCATTTGGCTGCCTGTGGTCTGGCCCCTAGGGGTCGGCGGCTGCAGGCGCTAGCCTGGTTAAATAACCAACAAAGCTTTTAATTTAATTGAGCTGGTTCAAGCATCATGTCACAACAAAATGCGTATTGTCTCGTTACCTGCTAGCCCGCAAGTAAAACCACGCCCAGACCCGCCGGCTGATAATATCAGTAGAGACCAGCCCTGGCATCACCAAGAATAATCCTCCAAATCCGGTTCCACGTTGGATGATTTGGCACTGGGACTTCAGCTTGATGGCTTTAAAATTACCTACCAGTAGCACTGCTAGAAGAATTTCTGAACACTTCGGATGTAGAAAGCTGTGCAAACCAAAAGGCAAAAAACAAGCTAATATATATGGCTATATGTAATATCAATTGTTGAAGGAGTTCTTTCCGCAACAGCAGGCCCATTGGTCAAACTATTGCTGATTCGATTTGAACCTGGGACCCGGGCTACAAAGTAGAGCTGCAAATGTTGGCCGTGTTTCGACAAGGCCTCGGCTGAATCCAAACTGGGTGATGCGTCTTCTCCACCGACTCCGTCTGAACACCAAGCGATTGGAACCACCTCCCATCATCCTTCCCATCATTCCGATGGACTGGAGTTCCCCATGAGACTCAGGTCACGATGCCCAAATAGAGGTGGGTGCGGTCATGAACGACCGGGAAAGGACAAAGAGGGATCCAACTTAAGACCGGACCTTTTTTTGTTCAGCCAAGTCTGCCGAACATCGGGCACTCGTGTCAAAGCGCGGCCCGCCTGAAAAAGAATGGAACAACTCATCTTCCAAAGGTGCAGAACCCATCTGCTTCGGGTCCCTCCAGAGTCCTCCGGATCCCTTCGGATCCCTCCGCTTCCGGGTCTCCCTACGGGCCAAGCCGTGGCCAAGCGTCGTGCCAAGGGGGTCAAAAGGACCTCCTTGGAGATCTCGAAGCCTTGCACGAGACTGGCTGAAGCTACCTGTTGGAGAGTAGACAGATGAAAGCTTGAATTATAGTACAATGGCAGTAACATAGGCTGCACATAGGCATTAGAGTGGACTGCTGTAACCTCTGGAAGTCGGCAAACCTGATGTATTATTTATAGAGCATCATCCTCCCTACTACGCTTGTCATTCTCGTGGCTCACCTGAACTCTGTGGTTGAGTTCTACTATGTTCTACTAAGACTTCCAAACTTTGGGTTGTGCCTCTGCTTGGCTCAAGTTTGCAAACCACAGATGCGGGACTTTGGACCAAGTCACCTTCGCAGCCCTGGTGGGGAAACAGATGGACTTCCCACGACATGAACCTGCTAGGACCATGGCGGAAGAGGTCACGGAAACAGCGCTGCATGACCAGCTCCAACGGCACTTCCTGGGCGACTGCGCTCCGCGTCTGGGAGACGAGACTGGATGTCCAACGCCCAGCCTGGGCGCGTCTCCTGGGAGCATGGAAGTGATGGAAGGAGCAACCATCAAAGATAGCCCAAATGCAGCAATGCATGTTGAAGATGTTGAAGAGCCGGATTTGGGAACTGCGGACCTCCAAACACTTCGAGAGGTGTTAGGACAGCCAGACCTTCTCACATCGGAACAGCCCCGCATTGAAGAAATGTCACTCGATGTCTCAATCATCTGCCATTCTCTCACGCGTAAGCCGTTGGAACGCGCCAGGAGCGAAGCTGCAAGCTTGCAACATAGAGGGAATTTCAGGGAATGTGCCAAAATGTTCAAAGCCTGTCCGGCCTTTGAAAAGCTTTGGTGTCAACAGGGAGACCCAGCTTTGGTATTTCTTGGAGGCTTAAAGCAAGCCCACAACACATTCCAAGAAGAACAAGAACACTGACCACAAGTAGATCCTGGGAGACCGGGCCCTCTGCTGGATGGCCACCAAAGGCACCTCCGCTCCGGCGGTGTTTGGGGTATCGAATTGCAAGTGTATGGAAGAAGCTTTAGGCAAGACTCTCCAAGTTCTCCAGTCACTTGGCTATTTCTACCAAATGCTTCCCAAGATTGTAGATAGCAAATGAGCGAGTTCCAAAACCTATGGGCACCAAAGTGGAACTCCGTATGTTGGTATCGCTTTTGGGGGTTCGCTATATCGCCTTACAGTGTTTCAGATGCCTTTGTCGTATTATGTCATATTTCTTGAGAATTTATCTTGAAAACATAACAAAGTGAAGTACACATTGATATGGGTCGAGGGAGGAAAAGAAAGAGAGAGAGAGAGAGAGGGTCTTCTTTTTGTATTTAATAAAGTTTTTTGGGCTGTGAGTGGAAGCATCCGTTATTTGGCTTTGAGAGAAGCCCCCAATCAAGTCATAACTCTCTCAGCCCCATCAACATGTCCTTGCACAAAGTGCATCGGGTGTCCACAAAGGCAGAACAATAGAGGGTCTGGGCCCCAAACCATGAAGGCATGTTTGGCTGCAAGCTTTCCCGGAGTGAGGTGGAAACCATGAATCCAAACCATCTGAGGCAGTCTTGGCCTTTATCCTCGCTGTGCCTTCCGTGCCTTCTTGACACCTTTTCACAGGCTTGATTATGTGCACGCGGCCCTCAAATCTGCTTCACGACAATGGGTGGACATCTGTCGAACCCAGTATTTTCTCAAGAACGACAGCCGACAGCGATTAAGTTTATTAAAGCATATGAAAGCTGCCTCCAGTTCATGGCAATACACAGACCTTTGCAAATCCATCCGAGCACGTCTACTAAGCATGTGAGTTGCAGCTAGCGACTTCCACCTTTCTGGAAATGGTAGTCAACTTCCGAATAGCTGAGATATGCTGCTAGGATTCATGGGGCCCTGGCAAAGACCTGCATCATGTCGACGCTGCAGTATCCCGATGTCAGCAGCTTTGAGAACACCGGGCGCTTCGCATCCAAAACTGGCATCCCGGCGCTTCGCGCCACGACGCAACGGCGTCTGAATTAGACATATGTGGCAAAAAAGGGTCGGCATTGATCAATTGGCCTCCAATGGATGTTGTGTTCGATTGTCAGCAACCAACACAAAATAACACAAACATGAAGAATGATGAAGAATGAACATCTCCAGGCAAATACGTGCTGAGAAGAGACAAGTTCCTGCTAGCATCTGCTAGCTTTGTTCGACTTTGTTCAAGATCTTGGCCACATCAACCCTGACATGTACCCAGGAATACCTGTGTCTACCGCCCCCTACTAGGCCCATCTTCAGCTCTGACGGTGTCATCTCTTGTGCACCTGGCGCTGTAAAGCGCGGTCCGCTGCCACGTGCGGTCCACTACGGGAAAGTACAGCTTCAGCCGAACCGATTCCAGGTACTTTGTACACACAACACGTTCATAGCACGAGCACTGGCCCAGCTGCCCAGCTGTTGGCGATCGTGGTTAGATATGGTTCGTAAATGTCCGTAACTAGGGAGGAGCGGGCAAAATCTTGACTGTCCTTTCGTAGTCTGGGAATGTCTGGAACAGATTCAACTGACCTCAAACCCATGACCGTTGACAGCACTCCCACCTCTCAAGTCAGCGGAATAGTCCTCAGTGGCCAGTGGTGGAGTGTGTGGCACATATTGCCTTGTTGAAGTTGTTGAGGCATGTCGAGGCGAACCAGTCAAAGGACACCATTTTGGCATGCAAAACATTGAAAACCCATTCCAATGAAGCAGCAATACATGGTAGAATCGATAAAATCGAATGAACACCCATGATGAAAGCCCATTTGTTCTTCCTCACCCAGCAGCAATAGATTGCCAAGAGTTGTGGAGAGTCCGGCTCCGTGGGGCTACCAAACCATGCTCTGCCTGATCATCCCTATGCTGTATGATGCTGTATGCACCACCTCTCCCACCTGCACCACCGTCTTCCCGAAACTCAGCAAAAGTTTGGATTGCCCAGAGTTTGTCACATGAAAAGAAAAACACCCTTTGAATACACAAACATGGAAACTGCCAAAGGAGGAACATGATGGAAAATGCTTGATTGCTTCGCAAGAAGGGTGGTCTGCTTGGATCAGTTTGGTCTGTTTCGTTGCGACAGAGCCTTCTTTACATCCGGGTGACGTTGGAGCTTTGCCAGCTTCCCATCCGTGTAGTCCGGCAGTGGAGGCGCCACACCTGGGGGACAAGAAACTTGGGCGGCCACGGGGATGCGGACCTGGTGTTGGCTGGGCCTGGGCCAACTCAAAGCTGGATGGAACATGACAGGAAACTATATTTATTTAAGGGTTCTTGCAACCGGTGGGCTTTGAAAATTTCATGAGATCCTACTCATTGGTTGCAGTTGTGACTTACAAGTACGATGTGGAGCCTGATACCAACCAAAGCTCAAGAGTTCACATGCGTGACATCATATCAGTGGAGTGAAGAAACATACCTTAGGACATTCCACCTTCCAATACAAAGGTAGCTGTGACTCGGTTCTTCTTTTGAAAGAGCTAAGCAGCTATGATGTTCCAGCTCGAAGAACTCATGGCCGTCAATCTCTTGATCCATGTTGAGGTCCTGAGTCGAGAGCCAAAACCCCCAGCAGAAACAAACGAAGAATGATTTCTCCATGGTCGACAGTGGAATTTCAAATTCTCATGTTTTTCATCGGTCGTGGAAAATCCAATGGCTCTCTCCATCCTCTCCATCCTATGCTAGCAGCGAACCGTTAGTCCGCACAGTGAGAGACACCAAGAAGCAATCGTAGAGGTTTGAAAGTTAAGGGAATTCACACAATATGATACTCCCTGGATCTTCCTGGAAGATAAACATGGAACCTGAAAACCACTGAAATTGCGGAGGAAGCTAGTCTTTCAAAGGTCCATGCCATCAGGTTCCATGTGGATCTTCCGGGCAGTGAACCGCCGCAGTGCACCTATGCCAGTAAACCTGTGTGGGACGAACACGGAAAGCACCCCGCCAAAAGCTGGCAAAAGGAGAAGGATCACGCGGTGTTTGTGGAAAGAACATGGTTTTTACGACATCCAAAAGCATCCCAAACACTCGTAAACCCATTGGACCCTGTTCAAAAATGGAGCCCTGGCGGCCCAATGGAGCCGCCCTGGCCTTTGATGGGTTCTCCAGGTCGTTTGGACTGTTTCGATCCTCCGTGGAATGGGCCAAGCGGCGATGAACATGAAGATCTCTTGCACCGGACCATCGAAATGTGTGGCCTGGACACCTTGTGTGTGCCCCGGTGTGGATGAACTTCCCCTAGTAGCGCCCTTGCTCTTAGTATATAGTAAGGCCAGGAGCCCCTAGTAGCGTTCTTGCTCCTAGTAGCGATGCCCTTGTTCCTAGTAAAAAATTGGGTTCCTACAAAGAGATGCCTCTTGGTCACTTACCTTTGCCATCTCAAATTTATCTGACTATGCATTATGGACACATACAGATACACACAGTATCATACAGTATTTGTTTGGCCTCGAGGACAAAAGGTGGATGGTAGATCTGTAGCTATAGTATTGGTTCTGGACATGATCTTGCCCAAGCAGCTTCACACCCCTGCTGTGCTTTGCTCAATGCACATTGAACATTATTTCAACAGATGTCAACTGATTTATCAACACAATTGTCAACATTGAGAGACTGCGGACTGTCATAATGTAGACTCTTGATCAATAACCTCCCGATTTGGATGCGCATACTTGCGGACGATCTGGCACGCCCACACCGTCCCTTGTCGCGTATTGCGATGGGTGCGGGTGGGTCTTTCCGAGTGAAAACAACAAGCTACTGAAAAACTAGTAGCAATGGGCATTTCTACTAGGAGTAACCATGCTACTAGTAGCTCTGGCCTTACTACTAGTAAAAAGAAGTAACCACAAACTCCTCCGATTTGGCTTGTAAAACCTCTTCTACCCCACTCGTTCTGACGTCTCGACGAGGCCCCGTGTTGAGGCGTGACACCAAGAACGCCACTTTGGACACACAGGCCCATCAGCAGCACACTGATCTATTGTCGTAAAACTCTTCATATGGGTGGTTTACTAATCAAGAGTCTACATTAATCAGTCTACACAAAGGTATGCCACGGGGTCAGAACTCGAACGGAGCTCCCAAGACGAAGATGAAGCATCGCCAGGTTCAAGCAATGCTAATCTGGCCAAAACCGTGACTCTTTGACTCACTCAAAAAATCTCAAAAAGAGTTCCCACCACTTTGAAAGACCGGCGACATTTCTTGAACTCTTCGAAAGAGATCGCGCCACTCTCGTCGAGGTCAATGGCCTCAAAGGCCTCACTGAGAAGGTCCATGACACATGTCTTCCCCCCGACCTACTAAGCAATGGTTTCCAACCTACTATAGCGATGGCCGCCAACCTATAGTAGCGATGGCTGACCTAATAGCCATGGCCTCCATGTGTCGGAGGAGGCCTTTGGGGATCCGAAAAGGGGTCGACACATGGTGAGTGACACCTGGAGATCGAAAAACGTCGCCTTTATCTAATGACACATGTCACATGCAGTATCATATTTTGAGGCATTTCTTCCGCTCTTTTTGGTCACGGAAAACATCGGTTTCATTGTCCATTCCATTTGTCGCAGGTTCTGACATGCAGCCTGCTGCAAAGAGCCGTAGAAGACCTCCAAGTCCCGCTTCAGCCTCAAGTGGCCCACGCCAAAACAGAAGCGTTGCTGGCCTCTCGCTGCTTCGATGTCGGAGCAGTTCACCAAAGTGGTTGGTTCTTTGGAAATTTAGACTTTATTGAGTTAAGGAAGAAACTGGTCCAAGAAGAAACATGCAAAAAATGCAGAAATAATCAAGCATATAATATACAATTTTTCAGTTCATATCTACTTGCGGCCCATCTTTGCACAAACACAAAACTATAGGACCGGAAAACCCCACATGTTAACAATTTCACCAGACACAGGAGCGGAAAATTCGTGGTTGGTGGGTGACAGTTGGTTGGTGGCAATTGGTTGGTGGCAGTTTGTTGGTGGCAATTGGTTGGTGGCAAATAGTTGGTGACACTTGGTTGGTGACAATTAGGTTGCAATTGGTTGGTGGCAGTTGGTGGTGGCAATTGGTTGGTGGCAATTGGTGGGTGGCAATTGGTTGGTGACAAATGGTTGATTACAATTGGTTGGTGACAATTGGTGGGTGTCAGTTGGTTGGTGACAATCGGTTGATGGAAATTTGCTGGTGGCAATTGGTTGGTGGAGATTTGTTGGTGGCAATTGGTTGGTGGCAATTGGTTGGTGGCAATTGGTTGGTGGAAATTCGTTGGTGGCAATTGGTTGGTGGCAATCGGTTGGTGGCAAGGGAGGCGGGAGGAGGAGGAAGGAGGAGCGGATACCACACAAACAAACAAAAACCCCACACATCAATGTGGGGAACAAAGTTATGTGCGGTCCAGGCCAGGAGTCTGGACTCATTCAACTACCAACAACGTGGCAGTGGTCCAGCTGGTCAAAGTTTCGAGCTTCCTCCAACCGCCCCGCACCGGTCGCCCCACCAAATCTCTGCCAAGGAGCTCGTAAATCGACTGGTGCAGCTCGCGCCACACTCTCTCCAGTGTTTCGAACTCCTTTCGTGAGATATCGCCATCATGAGAGGTATCCAAGTATCGGAAGACACCTCACATGGATAGGGCACAGAATTTGAAAAATCTCAGTGAAGGACAAGGGATCCCTTCCTTCCCTCCTCCGTTCGAACGTGAGGATCCAAATCCTTTATGCTGGAGGGCAACGCAATTCTACACAGATTGCCTTTTGTCATAGCGGAGATATTTGCCATTCTCCTGTGCTTAGACACACTCAACTTTAGCCCGCAGACATGAGTGTAGCAGAGACCTGCCTCTATGAAGGTCTGCCTCACCTCGCCCACCAACACCACCGACCTATTGACTCAGAAACAAACAAACAAACAATGAAAAAATAGACAAGAATGATTTGAGTAAAGCCTTAGAAAGGTAGAACAAAAGCTAGTAGAAACCAGTATGCAGGTGCTAGGATTAGTTGTAAGTTGAGAGGCAAGGAGCAATTGACAAAGTACCAGCACCAAGAGGCTGTGCAACCGGAGCGACCAACGAGCATGCTTCCAGCAGCACACCAGCAGCAGGAGCACCGCAAATAGCAAACCAGCAAATACCAGCAGCACATCAACGGCAGACCAACAGCTGACCAGCAGCAACAAGGAAGCTATCTTCCACAAATACCTTGCTGATTCAAACCAATGCCCCTACCACTGCATTTTCTGCATCACCAACTCACCGAAAATGATCAAAACAAAAAGGTTTCCAGTGTTAAGTTTCCACTAATAGTGAGGCAAATTCGACCCGGTCTCATGCCATAAAAACCCCTAGTGCAACTGTTTCTGTTTGGGGCGAACCGAAAAGGGGGAAGGCCACTCTGCTTCTGCTTCGCCACTGGAGAGCGTCTCGAGCTGTGTGGCATCCTCCTCATCCTCGCTCCGAGGGCTGGGCATCAAGCGTGCCGAGCTCGTAGTACCTCGGGGTCGCGGTCGAGCGAGGAGGCGAGGAGCCGGCCTGGGCTGAAAACGGAACGTCAACGGAATTGGATATCTTTAGCTCCTAATGATTGGAGAACCTGGGTTCTAACAAACATTGGCCCTTCATTCTAGCATACTGACTTGAGCAGAAACTAGTTCATTTCACAAATCGCACTCGTTTGAAGCCGCAATGTCCGGCCCTCTTCCCAACGACGGTATCACCATTTCGATCGACATCGATCGACTTCAAATATGCCAGTCAGGATGAGGCGCATCAAGGTGGGTTTGCGGTTACTTCGTGGGATGTTCTCCCATGGTCAAGAGCTGCTGGCCAAAAAAACACCACCAAATCACGCCAGGTCACTAGTGGATTGCGGCAGAAATGCAGGCACTCTCCGCCTGAGGCACGAAAACCAGGACGTCGAGATGATCGGTCCGAGCACAAAGCTACGCAAAGGAACGATCAGGCCATGCTCCAAAGGAACGAAAAAGGACACAGATCGGCTGCGGTCCAGCTCGACAGGGAAAGAATGGCCAGTGCCATTGGGTGTGGCTGATACGACAGTTGTTCACATTTTAATCCGCTCCTACTTTGAACCCCATTTTGGATGACAGAACTGATCAAGATATTTGCAAAAAAAGGTGCTATCTATATCTATCTATATCTATCTCTATCTCTATCTCTATCTCTATCTATCTATCTATCATAGCCATAACATGTTCCTTGTAGTATTTTTTCCAATCCAATGACCACCTCCATATTTCTGGTCTCCATATCTGACCACCTCCATCTCCCCCCAGTCTCGCCCAGTCCACCTTTTAGGCTTGCAACATCCAGCTTTCGTGAGGCCATCCACAAACTCCTCGGAAATCGCCCCAGACATGGGGCCTGGAACCTTTTGGCCTTTCCATCGCCGATGTTTTTCGGGGGGAAGGCGGCCCTCAAGAGGAGAAACATCAGGGTGCACAGCCCAACATATTGAAAGAACATGTGGTTTTGTGGTTTGCACCGCCCTACATGTTACATGGTGGTCATGGTGCACCTGTCTCTTCAACAAATGCTGAAAATAGCCCCAAGAAAAAGAACACAGCTTGCGTTCAGCACCCGTTTCGCCCTCTGACGCCTGCTTCACGGTACATAACACCACAAGGATTCCACACATTGTAACATAGATATTGGGTATATCCCATTCCGTGTAGGAGTGGATGACGATGGTTTGTAGAGGCCGTTCTCTAAAATAGTGATACAGTAATTGTTGACCGACTGCCACAGGTTCTGAGACACTCCAAACATATATAATTGAATACAATATCTAGAATCTATATATTGATAACAACCCCAAGACTCAAGACCACCCCTGCATACACAATGTGCTCTTATTTAGAGTGTGTTCCCAAATAATTACTTTGTGTTGACTCTTTATTTGTGCATTTGCTGTGGTTGGAGTGCTTCCAATGCCTTGGAGTATACTCCATACAATTATTCGGTACCTTCCCTTCTCTCTGTGCAAGGATTCCGCAGCGTTTGGAAACATTGTGACTTCGCAAGCCTTTCGTTTGCCGCATGGTTGTTGAGACCGCGTTTGGGACCAACAACGGCCGACCGTGTCTTTTTGGCGCTTCAATCCACCGGATCGAGCCGACGCCTTGTGGTTCAGCATGTTGTCCGGCTGCGTGTTGAGAGCGGAGAAGGCCGCATCGGTGCTTTTCCAGGTTCGGATCATGAACGTTACCACCTGGCCGTGACCAGTGGACCACTGGTCACAGACCAGCAAGAAGGCCTGTGCTTCCCAAACTATATGGTGACTAGTCGGCCATGTGTTCTGAACTGCAATGTTTTGTCTTTTGATATCCTTTAGTCAAGTCCTTAGACTTGCGTTCATCCACATCTGGACCCTGTCGATGACCGCCTTCAGCACCTCGACGGGGACGTCTTCCAAGCAAGACCTCGTGGTGGCGGATCCACAGATGGAGTTTCCAGATTCAACTAAGAGAACATTCCATGAGGGACATCTGGAAAAGACCACTTTTCGACGCAGGAAAACATCGGACGCAAGGAACCGCAGGAACTGTATGTTCAGTGTATGACATCTCAAACCTACGCAGAAAGAGGCTTGAAAAACCGATCTATAATATACTACTTGACCCCCCCCAAATGCTCACAACGGGACAAATCTGGACAAAGCCCAGCTGATACCACCTCATGACACACTCACCATCACTCACCCTTCTCCGCTTGATCCCACCATAAACTGAAAGTAAACAGCAAAAACCGACTCCTCCGCTTGGTGCATTTTCAGGACTCCTCCGCTCCCGCTCCGCCCATCCTTTGAGTGCTGTTTCATCGCGGCGCCAGAAGTCGAAGGTCGTGTCCGGCAAGTTGGTCCAGCCACCCACCGAGGCAGCCAAGCGGCGCCGTGCCTCCCGGCGCAGCTAACGGTGTTGAAACGGCTCGGTGAACTAAAGGTTCATCAAAGGATGTGTTTCGTGGATGGGAGGTAGGGGCCCACCACGTGGTCTGTTGTTTCATCATGATTGACATATTGTGATGTTTGTTGAGTTCAATCAGAAGTGTTGCTTTGGAGATTCACTCTGTGAGTTGGAACACCTGAGGTCATGTATGTAGGTATTGAATGGTATCAAGTGATGGTCACCCCAGTGATGGTACTACTATGCCATATACATCATGATAATGTATAATGTATTATTACTGATAATATATATATATAATATACTGTAATTATATCAATCAGAATCATAATCATATCTGTCACAGATTTGCATCCATCGATCGCCAACCATGGCACCAAACTTGGGCTTCTTTGGGTCGGAATAGGCAAACCACAACAAACCACGGCAAATCCCGCAGACCCGAACTGAATTTAAAGACCCGAACTGGAGCAGGGTGTCAAAGTCTGGCCTTCAAATTCTGCCGGTCCACCGAGCAAGTGTAGGTGCCTGCTTACCGAAGTGGCTTCCGGCTCAAACTGCAGGTTTCCTCCAAGTTCCTACAAAAAGGTCAGAATGTCTTACATCGCTATTAGGTTGGAGGCCATCGCTCTTAGGGTGGAGGCCATTGCTTTTAGGGGGAGGAGGCTGCTAGGGGGAGGTGATCGCTATTAGGTTGGAGGCCATTTTGGGCTTCACAGATTTTGGAGCCAAAGTTTTGTCTCCAGGGTCGAGCAGGATCGAGGCTGAAACAAATGCAGAATCTGAAGACGCCAGCAGAAAAAAATAATGAAAAGACTTATTGTTCCGCGTGGCCTCTTTTGAGTATTCGTCTCTGTTGAACTGTTGAATTCTTTTCTCTGGGAGAGATGTCCTTTTCCACAATTAAAGAATTGGAGCTGTATGTTGCACTCGGTGAAGAAAGTTCAATGTTTTCTGTGCCTTTCCAAATTCCATTTCAAAACGCTTCAGTGTCTCAGCTAAGAACCTGAGGGCCACCGGTCCTCGCCTCGTTCTTTCCAAAGTTCCCACTCAAACCACTTTGGGGTAGAAAATATATAACATGAAATCCAAGAAAGCCAACCAAGCAGAATCGTAGAACATGACACGTGATGGTCATTGACCTTGCTCACTACCCTGCACAGGCTCTGATCCAGGTTGACCATTGCCGACTTGTCATCTTTCGTGGTGTTTCAATCCCACAGCTTGGTCAAAAGCTTATCTTTTGCCCCAATCAGTTGAGCAACCGTTGCTTGTGTTCCTTCCAGACCAAGGACCGAGGGCACCGTCGAGGCTGCCAAGGCACATTGCACAAGGCCCTGAGTAGGGATGTTCTCCAGCTCGGCCCAGGAATTTGGAATGCCTCTTGTGATCAGTGGGGAAAATCATTGGGTGTCTGCAAGTGATGATATACTCCGATATTTTTCACAAGCATGTGAGACAATTGCAGTATGGCTGCAAAACAGGATGCTATCCAGACCGCCGAGTACACACATACACACAACCAAGGTGCCTGCCACAAAGGGCTGGAAAGCCGGTGCGTTTGGGTTGGCATCTTTGTCCATCATCGGATTTTTGATGTTCCTGGGCTTTGAGCAAAAGAAGCACTGATTTCCACCATCTGTGCAATCCGAATCACGAAACTGGGCGCGCGCGTACAACCCGGACGATGACATGATCCATTATTCCATGCATGATAATTTGTCTGCCATGATGCTGACATCCCAAATAAAGATACGCATCACTGAACCGTGCTTTGTCAATTTGGTGCAAACCACCATGTCAAATGAGCGGCACACTATCCTCCCAATTGGCCAAACGCACCAGGTTGTGAAAGCAACGGCGCTGTTCCCACTGCTCCAAATCAATGATGTGGAATGACATTTCCTTAGGTGAGAAGGCAACACATGAATCTCTGCGGTGTGTGCAGATTTTGAAACAAGTGTCAGCAAATGTCCGGTCCAAACCCACGCATTTGGCACACGTCATTCGAGCCTGCTCAAGTTAGCACATTCGCAAAGGCGCCAACCTACTTAGCTACTAGCCACTTTTGTGTATATATGTGTGTGTGTCACCCCCTGTGCCAAAGGGTTCGCCACCACATTCACCTTCACCACTGTCTCACAAGCAGGGGCGTCAGGCTCGACACATCTACCTGACGCAACGAAGCTATGATGTGTCGAGGGAAGCTCTCGCTCTCATGTACCTGCGGAGTTTTCCACAAGCTGTCCACCCTACTTTTCCACGGTTTGATTCATGGTTCTTTCACGCTTCTTACCCCATAAACGGGTTTTCCCACAGCTGCCTTTCAGCTGCCGTCCGCCGCTCGTCCGCTGCTGTCGCGAGTCTGCAGATGCGCACAAACTTTTTGTTGAAAACACCTTCAATTTGATCGGACTCTTCACCTTGCCGTTGAGCCACTCCTTTTCTCGGGAAATTGAGTTAACTGAAAACCAATGTCAGAGTGTGTTTCGCTCAGCCGTCCCACTCGGGTGCTGAGTGTGATCCCCGTCACTGGGGCGCTGTTTCATTGGGTAATCATTAACGGAACTCACTACCGCTCACCGGAATTTCACTGGAATTCACCTCCACTTCCACCGAATTAACTGCCACAACGGCCGCCGGGCCTAAACACGGGACCTGCCATTTCGCAGAGTTTGCACATTTTTCTGCATGGTCTTGCATGTTTTTGCGAATGCTTTCCTCAAGCAGAGCGATTTAAGCGCTGAAGCTGCTGCCACTGAGCTAGTGAAGCTCTATGTCCAAAAAGGACACAACCCAATTGCTTGCAGCCGGTTTCTGAAAGGAAAAAGCGCCGATTACGGCGATCTGTGTGTGTCACCCCCTGTGCCAAAGGGTTCGCCACCACATTCACCT